GGGAAAGAGCCCACATCACTATGATGGCTGCTGTCATTCAAAACTGGAAGATCTGCCACACCTTGCACAGAAGGGTTCAGAAGGGGCAATCTATTCCTATCAAGCAGGTTATCTCCCTTCAACACAGTGAATTATCCATTTCAAACTTAGATCTATAAATATTTAGGCAGAGCAGCTGCAGGTGAAGTCCTGCTGTGTTAAAGCCATGTCAGACTGTCCCTCTATGTCCTCAGAGGCAGAGTTTGTAAATGCATCTGTGGGCACACATACAGGTAGGCACAGCCTTTCACAGACACATGTGACAGATGGCAGCCTTAGTGCTACCTCCATCTCTGTTCCTGAGACCTCTGGGCTATGCAGCAGCTGCCCCAGTGGCAGGGGATGCTGGGCAGTGAAGGACATGGTTGTACTGGCGCAGGGAAGGGAACCTCCCCCTCCAGCCCTCCTCTGACCCAACACAGCCTCTGAGGCTGCATGCTCCTCGGATCTCATACCCGCAAGAAGGAGTCCAGTGAGCCATTCTCCATGAACTCAGTAATGATCATGACTGGTGAACTCTTGGTCACCACCCCCTCCAGGTGGATGACGTTGGGGTGGTCGAACTGCCCCATGATGCTGGCTTCGCTCAAGAAGTCCCGTCTCTGCTTCTCCGTGTAACCAGACTTCAGGGTCTTGATGGCCACAAAGATCTCTCTTTTGCCAGGAAGCTTGAGATGCCCACTGCACACCTCACCAAACTCCCCTGTGAACAGACGGAAACAGGTAGGGCTTGTCAGCCTCCCAGAACTCTTCCTTTCTCCCCGAGGGACTCTGCTCCCCTAGACTCCAGCCATGACCACCCCTGAGGTGACCACCCACCACCTGCTCTGTGCTTCCTTCTTGTCGTGCTTAGGAACACGGTCTAGTGGTGGACTTAGGGCTGGTTTGGTGGTTGGACTCGATCTTAAAGGTCTTTTCCAACCAAAACCATTCTGTGATTCTATGATTCAAACCACAACAAGACCTCCTGTCAGGTGGACTCACCATTGGTGAGCACTGGACACTGTACGCACATGGAAACAACTTGCCTCCAGCACTGGATGTACTTGGTCCTCCAGCACTGGACCACCTTGCTCCTGCTAGTCCAGGCCGGGGCAAAGAGCAAGACCTCACTGACAGTGCTTTTCCTAGTACATGCAAGGATAAATCCTCACCAAAGCCTGAGACCACAAAGGAGACTGTGGCTGAGGGCAACCCAGACATTCACAGGTCACCTACCTGCCCCAATCACCTGCTCGATTTTGACACAAGAGATATCGATTTCTTTTGCAAATTCCCTGACAGCCTCATTGGGATCTTCATAGGTGAATGGATCAATATAAATCTTCATCCCTGGAGTCACTGCATAAAGGTGAGGGAGAGAGTCAGACAGACAGATGCAAATGGAACAACTGATGGGTGGCATCAAGGAAAAAAGAAACCCATTTGTGTGTGGGTCCTTTTGACCTCAGCACGTTGCATAATCAAGGGCATGAAGCAGACACATCAAAGCAGTTTGAGAAAGAACATGCAGAGCCATGTTTGCACAGGACTATTAAAGCTGGATTCTAATGAACATTAGCCCATAAGACATTGTTGGGGCAGTGGAGGGCTACGTTGTTAGCTAGGACTGCAAACTGCAACCACAGAGAGCCACACATCCATTGCAGCAGGATTCAGCAGGTCCAGAGGAAAAGCAAGAGAGGGATTTGTTCAGAGGAGATGGTGCACAGGCATCACACTCATCATACTGCAGTGCTGTGAGAGGACCACTTGTAGAGACTGCAGCTCTGTCCCACCAGCCCTCTCCACATGCTGCTTCCACCTCAGCACACCATCCCATCAGAGCTGTGGGAAAGCAGAGCAGTAGACCCAGGCTTGGTACTCAAGACAGGAGATGGTGAGGGCCTGCCTTTGGCGGTAAACTGAGGCACGTGCTACTCTTGATTCCCTACACGGAGATCTACAGGGGAGGCAGCTCTAGGTACTTGGTATTACTGACACAGCCACCAAGCCAGGTTCACTCCTTCACAGGGGTGTCTGTGAACCTTCCAGAGGCAGTGCAAGCAGGATGGACAGCCCAGTCTGCCCCTGTTGTCCTGACAGGTAACCCTGCCTGAGGCTGGGTTCCCTCTTGTTAGCCCAAACACAGCCAAGACAAGCTGTAGGGGACACTGGGGAAACTGCAAAAGGCAAGTTCTTCCTTCTAGGCAGACACAGTGATATGTTTAAGTGAAAGGCAATGACCATGCAACCTGGTGAGGTTGGACTGCTGACGGCACATTGCACGCTACCCGCACTGTGGGACAGCTCTGCAACCCTGCAGTTCTCCCCTTTCTCTGCTCATTTTGCTGGCCTCTGGCTTGTCGCAAAATTGGGGCTATTTGGAGAGCAGCGCTCACAGCTCACTGAAGAAGGAGCCTAACACAGAAGCAGAGGTATGCAGGATGCTGGTAGGATTCAGGGGAGTTGCTGCAATGCTTGCAGGACTTACAGGCTTCCCATGCCTTGGCGATTTGCTAAACATAAGCTGTAGCGTCTCCACAGCAATCACTGCTGGGGACCTGAGCAGAGACTATGCCTTGGACTGGCATCTTGCGTGACGATGTGGCTAAAAGGCACCCCAGGCCCATTATCAGTTCATCTGCATCCGGCGGCACCGAGCCTGTTCCAACAGTCGTGACGGCACAGCTATTAATGCCATCCCAGCCTGAAGGTGTCATGTTATGCACCAGACCCTGGGAGAAAGTGTGAATGTGTGTTTGCACATGCAGCACGGACTGATAAACAACTGAGAGCTGCATTTACATAATCTTTCTTGAAGAGTGTCGTTTTTCCTGGGAAGTTGTGGCAATGCAGCCAGCACACTGCTGCTCTGGCACAGAGCTGCAGTCCGGGGCCCTGCCTTTTGGGAAATGCTTCCCAGGTAAATGCAGAAGCAATGGTGAGTCCTGTGCTGAAGCACAACTGGCTTTCCATTTGCTGCACAAGGCTCAGATCCGTACAGGAACAAGGTATAACAATGACATAAATCCTGAAGCTGTAAGTATAACATGTGGTAAATAAAAACTGAGATCTGAACAAAGTAGGATTATAGAGATATGTCTCTAGCAAGGGAGAGGAAAGGTGTTTCAGAGGGCATGCAGCCCGGGGTTAAGGAGGGGAAGGAGGATGCACTGGGGTGAGGCAGCCAGGTTTGGAGCAGGAATGCTAGATGTGAGGGAGTGCCTCGCGACACAGGGATGTTGGAAGAGGGAGGCTGCAAGAGAGGGCATGTTATGAATCATATTATATACCTATGTATATAGATATATCTGATAGCTCCTAGGATTCTGGGAGCACGCGAATGGGCTTTAGCAGAGGCACCACAAGGTATGTGGGTTCCTGCAGAAGGACAGCACTCTGCAGGATGGGGGTGGGTTGGGAGAGGGGGTCTCACTGCTGCCCCCATGCTGGGCAAAGCTCAGGAGTTGGAGTAGCAAGACAAGGTGTGGTAGCAGGGGCTGCACCGCAGAAGGCGGGGAGGCTTCAGGGGTGCGTGTGGGATGTCACAGGGGTTTGTAGAGCATGGACGGGTGTTCACTGGACAGTTGGCACCTGACAGAACGCAGGACCTGCGGAGGAGCAAGGACCCTATGAGGCAGGGAAGGGGTCTAGAACATAGGGGACTATTGGGGAATCTAGAGAGCATGGAAGTCCTCCTGCACACACATGCACACGCCTGCCCGGCCAGGTGGCCTGAGCCCTCCCCACACGCCACAAGGAATGAGTGAACAGGAACACAAACCGAAGAGAGAGCGGACCCCCAGGCCTGGCGAGGGGCCGCGGTACGTACTGTGGCCACTGGTATAGTGCTGCAGCTTGTCGGTGTACTCAGAGTCAGCACGCTCGAATCCCCGTCTTCTGGAAAGAAAGTGAGTCCTGAGCACCAGTACGGGTCCACGGGGCTGACAGACAAGCGGCAGGAGCATCTCTGCCCCCCTGCACCTTCCTGTCTCCGTCCTCCCCACCCCTGCCACCCTCCGTCTCCAGTCTCCCCACTCTGCGCACAGCCTCAGCCCCAGGTTGTGCGCTCACTGACCTACCTGTTGCACACAATAACGATGACAACCACAGCAATGAGGAACACCAGTCCTGCCGCCGAGGAGCCGATGATGAGCGGCAGCTTCTCCTGGACACTGGTCTGGTACTCAGCTGGCACACAAGGAGGACGGAACAGGTTACTGTGGCATGGGATGGGTCTACACTAACAAGTTCATCACAGTCAGAGTACAGCCCTGAGCAATGCCCTACATCTGCATGGCTATTGCTGATGGGCTTCCTGGCATGGTTTTGGGCTGTGACAGCTGGTGCCGTCCCAGGCATGGCTTAGGTTGGCTATGACACGGGATGTGCCCCAGTAGGAAAGTTGGATGCAGCTATCCCTTTTGGGTGGGAAAGTTTAGTCCCATGGATGCATGCTGTGCCTTGCTCCTTGGCCTCAGGGCCAGAAAACTGGCTTGGCCTGTTTTATCTAGCAGCACAAATTTAGAAAATAAAGACCCAGATATGCCTTTGTGATCAACAGCTGCGCACATGAAAATCATAAATTTCCTTTCCCCTAAATCCAACTGAGCAGACACATCCCCATGCCAGAAAAGCTTGGCAGAAATTGGCCTAGATTATGTGATTCCCTGCAGGGACCACCAAGTGCCTACGCCTCTGTCCAAGTCTTGCCAGGTTGAATGAATGTGTGTGGCTTGTCAATGCACCCTTGAAGGGACTAGCAGCAAGGGGATCAGCACTGCTGCCAGCACATCTCCATCATGTTCAAGTCTCTCCAGACCCTGTGTCACCGTTACGCAGAGGCAGCTGAAGACTCACCTTCAGTCATGGTCTGGAAATACATCTTGCCACTATACCGGCCATACCCGGCCACAGTACGCGCCCGCACCTGGAAGACGTAGATGGTGCCAGCTTTGAGGTTTTGCACTGCCACAGTGTTGGTGGGGCTCTTCACTGTTGTCGAGTTTAACTCGGTCAGATCCTGTCAAGAAAAGACACATGTGTCATCAGGAAACTGAGAACAGAATCAGGTGCTGCATTTCGAGAAGGAGGAAGTGCAGGAAACCAGGGTAGTGTAGACGGAGAGACCACCATGGGGAGGTTCCTGATCCTGATCAGCCTCAGCACCCTCTCCATCTGCTCTTCCCCATCTCCCTTTGCCTGTGCTGGAGGTAAAGCCCAGCTGAACATAGGGTTTTGGACCTCAGGAGAAGTACTGCTACTTTCCCCCTTCCCAAGGCCTGCTTCACCAGGGACCATGGGTAAGTTTTCAAAGTTGGGAAACTGAAGAGTGCATTTAAAAGCAACCATGAGACTACTTCCAAATTATTTTCCTGCCCCTTGCGTGCAGTTTTTATAGCTGAGGACTTGAGCAGTCATATCATAACGGCATAGACATTACTGCACTTGTGTAGGTGATGGATCCATCGCTGCCCTTAGCAATTATGTCCTTAGCTGAGCATCCAGAAGTACTACTGGGTGGGCCAGGATCTCCTTGTGCCGCTGTACAAGAGAACAGACACTTGCTGACCAACCAGGGACATGAAGAAACAGGTCAACAGAGGAGGATGAAAGAGGGTACTGCATGTGGTGCTTCCTATGGTCAGGGCAAGGTGGCCAGGTGCCTGGCAGTCACAAAATCCTGAAAGTCAGTGCAAAGCAGAAATATATGCAAACAGCGCAACGTTTCTGGAAAACAGAAAAATTTGAGGAAAGCCAAGCTGTAAGTCTGAGCCCTCATAACAGGAGGCACAGGCATCAATTTTTGAATCAAATTTCTGTAGCTACATTGAAAGTGCTCATCCTTTCTGGTAACACCTCCGATCTGGCAGGTCAGGCTGCCTTGGCAGGATCACTGGTTGGAACAGATCAGCAGCTGACAGCTCAAAGTCTGAGCTGGCAAGTTTACAAGAGAGTCCCTGAGATCTGAAAACTTCAAGTCACTGCAAAGGGCTCAGCAAGCCCAAGAACTCCCACCCCACACAGACTCACCAGAGAGGTGAGATAACCTCATCAGAAGTAGGCAGGGACTGGCAGAAAGAAGTCAGACACATAGATGTGCAATCCCATCAACTGGGACTGAGGGTGTAATGAAGGGACTGCCCTTTGTCTCAGCTGTGAAACTCCACTGAGGGACATGGAGGGATTTCTTCTTGGCCTGTGCTACCATGAGATCGGAGTGAAACTCCCAAAGCACCCACCCCTCCTCAACTTCTTCTGCAGTGACTCTGCAAGGACAGAGGGTATTAAAGAGGCATTCAGGCAGAAGGTCCCATCTTGTGATAAGCCAAGGTTTCCACACATAAAGGTGCAAGTTTTGCAGGCCGTTGCTCTCGTATGTTGCTGTGGCTGCCTGCAGGCAACAGTGAAGCAGAAGTCAATGAAGAGTCTTGCGCCCAGCTTTGCACATCCTTTGCCTAGAAGGGCTGTCTGCTCAGTGTCCTCAGCTGCTGGGACACAGGATGAGTCCAGAGGTCGTCTTGCCCACCAATAAATGGTGGAGTTTGCCTTTGGGGGCAGCTGGTCTCCTTTCTTTTCCACTAGCCATCTGGTGACCTTGCTTTCATGTTCATCCACTTCTTAGAGTAGCGCTGGTGCCTTCACTCATAGGAACTTCTGCACAGCAAGAAGCTGTGGTACCAGCAACATGAGAGGCCCACAGAGAACAGACATTTACTATGGGGCTCCACAAGCAGACCATGTTGAGCCGATGTTCTCCTCATGTTCCTGGGACACCTTGGCACTTTCTCAATTACTCATTGTGCTGGAGCAGAATTGCAAGTGCGCTGGCATTTGCAAGATGGATTATACTCATGACCTGTGTTTGTGCAGATTATTTGCCTCACAGCTGGAAAGCAGCTGAAAGACAACATTCGCAGAGTTAATTTTTTCTTCTATTAAGCTTTTGATTGCGCAGTGCTCCAGTGTGAACGGCTGGTAAGAGAGTGGTCTGACAGGAACGTGTTTCTTAACTGGGAGGCTTGGAAATGCCGATGACACATCACTCTGCAGGGTAATACAGCTCTGCAAATGCCTGGGAGACCTCCACTATTAACAGTTGATTTTCTCTTTTAAAAACTACAACATCAGTTTTATTGATCTGGACCTGGCAATGAAGGTGCCTGGGTAGCACTGGGGTGTATTGGGAATTAGACTAATGACAACAAAAAGCTCAAGTACAGGTACACAGACAAAAAAGATGAAGGAAAGATGAGCACACAGAAAACTGATTGCCTTGTTTGTCTGACCAGGCCTCAGCACTCCCTTGGACCTTTCCCAGGCAGGCTAGGAAAGAAATAGGTCAGGAAATGTTTACGGTTTTAGTGCTCAAGGGCTTGGACGAGTCCTTCCAGGCCCTCGGATGGCACTAACAGCGCAGTTGTTTTAAAACCATTTGTCCAACTGTTTGAGGGAACCTCATCTCTGCTCCTGGAGGACTCTAAATTGAATGCAATGGGCATGCTTACAAGATGGCTTATAGCCTGGTAAACTGATGTCTGTCTATCTGAGGAAGGTATGCTCATGACTGTGCTCTCCTTTAATCCCAGACTGCAAGGAAAGAGCATTTACACCTCTCCACCCTCCCTTATCAAACCTGTTCTTTCCCCTTGGCATATTGCTTAGCCATCACCTCTCCAGCAACCTCTGCATTCACTTCAAACTCTTCTCCCCTTTCACCCATCTGGGCTTCTCCAGCAGGTCCAGGGCATCCCAGGTGGTTTAAAGTCCAAGTCCAAGCTGCTGTTTTTTGCAGAGGTTTGTTTTGGTTTCTTTTCATGGCTGATTTTGGTTTAAGTTTGGAAATCCTGATTCAAAATAACACACTTCTTATTTCCTCAGAGGTTTGATTTTGAGTCCTCATCTGGTTCCCCTTCTCATGAGTCAAATTTAAGCTGAAATAAAATCTGACCAACAAAGAAAGGGATAGTTGTGGAACGCCCAAAGGATTTGCAAAAATTGTTTCTAAAAAGTCCTGTTTTATCAGGGAAAAAAAAAGCCAAAGAAAAAATGTCAACCGGCTTAATTTGGCAGACAGCTCCTCTGTGAGCCTGCACAGCGACAATCTGCTGCGGTTCCTGAAGCAAACAGAGCCATGCGGACAAAGCTAGTCCAAGGCTGTGTGCCAAATCATCACACACATCTGAATTTCAGCCCTCATGGGATCAAGTGTGTGAGGAGGGATGCTGGGACGTGGTAACAGCATCCTGCTGGCCACTCTGGGGGTGGATCTGTGAGGGGTCCACAGCTCCTGGACTCTCATGGGGTGGGTAAGAAACACGAGGTGGCACAAGCCCTGGTGACATCCAGTGCTGGGGACGCTGGGCTCCTGCCAGAAGCTCCCGGGCACCATGAAGGCTGCAGCCAGCTCTGCTCCCACCTCCACCTCCCCCACGGCACCTCTCCCCAAACCCTTCAGCCCCCCCAGCCAACCCATGCCCTTCCCCCAGCATGGGTTGGAAACATCAAAGGGCTCCTGCGCCTCCTAAAGCATTTGCATTGGTGACTGAACTGGGATGGGCCAAATGTCTTCAAACAATTACAACACAGGTAAGTCACGGCATACCCTAAGCCCAATCATTTTGCATAACGAGGAGAGCTAATTATTCTTTGCAGTGCTTGACACTGCAGTGGGTCTCCAGTTCCCACACTCTGGGATGAATTTGGCAACTTTGGACAAAAACTACTACGCCCTTGCTAAATGAAGACAACACTCACTTTTTTAATAAGACAAACATTGCCAGGTGCCTCTTGGAGGTAAAAAAACCAAAACAAAACATTAAGGAGAGGACCATAGAGAGCAGACACGTCACTCTGTGTTTGCGTAACAGTCTGCACTGATTTCTTATAACTACCTCTGAAAGAAAATCATCATGTTGCCTCTGTACAAGCATTTTTAATAGTGTCTAATAATAGCAATGTTATAAATAATCTGTGAAATGGAAACAAAAATATACCTTTGTTTCAGGTATTGAGAACAGCTCTTTTCTGTTAACACTAAAACACTTAGTCCAATTTTTTAATTTATGTATTTATATAGAAGAGAATCAGTTCAAAATGAAGAGCCAAAATACTTTTTATACAAGATGCATATGGTGCTGTTCTTACAATTGAACTGTTTCATGCTAATAAAACATAATTTTCTACTGGGGGAAAAAAAATTCCACTAGAAACAACTTAACTAGCTCCAGAGATATTTTCTGAGCATTCAGAAGCACATGGGACAGTTTGCAGTGAAACATTTTGGAAGAAAATCACCTCTGTACAGACTGGCAGTCGAGTGAGAACGCACCTGGGATGTGTTACACACCCCATCCAAATTGCAGTATTGATGGGAAGCAGGGGAAGAGCACGGCGTATCCAAAGCTGTACAATTTGGGACTGTTCCCAGGGATCAAGCAAACGACTTTCAACTGCACTGCAATGGCTCGACAAACATGAGATCCAGCTCTGCCAAGCAGGCAGAGAAGGATGTAGTGTCACTGCATTGCTGAAAATGCAGAGGGCTCTTGACTGACCAGCTGGAGCATATGAAGACCTTGGCTTGACTCCTGATGGATCAGACTTTGAGTGTGTGACTGGGGCTTCAGAGTAAAGGCTAATACACACAGAGGAGTTTGGGGAGAAACAAATCCACTGCCATTGGCTGAGCCCTGCCTCTAGCTCTTGGTTATTCCACTTCTTTTTTAACTTGTTTCCAAATCCTCTGAGCTTTGCTTGCTGTAGGACTAAGCTTTGACTCAGTGATCCAGAGAGTTGCCCAGAGAGGCTGTAGATGCCCCAGTCCTTGGAAATATTCATGGTCAGGGTGGACGGGGCTCTAAACAACCTGATCTAGTTGAAGATGTACCTGCTCATTGCATTGGACTAGATGACCTTTAAAGGCCCTTTCCAACGCAAACCATTCTAAGTCTCTGTGATCCCTTTCTGAGCATGACACACATCTTGGTTGAGGAGGAGATAAAGACATGCCTTTCTTCTTCAACTAGAGCACCAGCAAGAAAAATATACCAAGAGTTTCAAATACCAGGACAAATCCTCAGCACCAACACGTGGGGCTGCTTGCATTGCCCTCTCTGCCAGGGCTAGTACTCCAAACGACAGTCTGCTGCCATGAAAAGCATTGCCTGAGCATGGCTTGGGCCACTTGTCCTATGATCAGGGACGCAGTGAGGATGGGGCAGGCAGATGCTCACCTTGCGGATGGCTGCGAAGGCCAGCCATGATGTGCAGCTTCCCCTTTAGACAGAAATTCCTTTTATTTACAGCCTCCCCCAGAAAACAGTGGGGAAGAGGAAGAAAGAAAGAGAGGGAGATTAAGAGAAAGTAAGAGCAGAATTAACTCCATGAGATCTCCTGTTTCTCCTTTGAGGGTCCCCAGTGAAGGGACCTCTCTTGCTTTCCAGATCTGTCTTGTTACCTACTCATCCACCCTGACATGTATTCTGGGATCATTTCCAAGGGTCAAAGAAATGGCTGTGATTTATGCAATATAGGTCAGGACCTATTTAACAGCTTACAAAGAAGCTTCCCCCCCTCCCCATTCTCCCTCTGGCTCTTGGTGATGAGAAAATAGGTCACAGGCAGGCAGTGGGGGGGGATTAATCATTTCTTCCGGCAACTGCTGGGAAAAATATTTTCAGTTCCATTTAATCATAAAGCTTTTTAATTAGTTAGTTTGCAATTTTTAATGTATAGTTTATAAGCTCTTGTGTAAGAGGGCAGATTCCTGGAAGGAGAAGTCTAGTGCTCCCTACCTCCCCTGGGTAGCAGAGATGAAGTTCACCAGCCAGGCAGGGCTTGGCAGGTCCTGGGACCAACCTTGCCACGTTCTTCAGGTCTTACAGCAGCCACACAGCTCCAGCCCCATGGGATGGACACCCTGGCACAGCCCTGGCTAGCAGTCCCTTTGTTTGCCTGGGCAGGGAGGAGGTGGAAGGGGCATGATCCTCAGGAAGACAGGTCTGTGGAACCTTCTTCACATCAGCCTCTGTGGTGCAATATGTACCTTCCATGCTACATGAGACAGCTTCTCCCTGGTACAGCATCTGGGTAAGTGTGTTCAGGCAGCTGCACAAGATGCCAAACTCACCTTTGGTGCAAATGAACAGCATTACACAAAATCTTGAAGACTGGGCACTCAGCTAGTGTGGTCCAGCCTGGGACTAGACATCACTACCATCCTGACCATCCCCACTCCCCACTAAAGCCCTAGTGTGGGGGAAAGGGAAAAATTAGACCCTGGACCTTGGCTACCCAGCTCTCCCTGCAATGTGTCCACCTGCCACAAGTGCTGGAGAGGTGAAGGGAGGAGGAGCTCGTCCTGAAAGACCAGCAGATTTTCCACACTTGCAGTGTTTACACAGTGTCACTGAAACCACCACTGGACTCCAAAGGGTTGACAGCCACTGCCACGCACATGGCCAACCACAGCAAGAGAAGCAACCTATTGATCAACCACTGATGTAGCCACTTATGCCCCTGCGCAAAGCTTGGCACCACCTCCTCTCCCAGAAACCTGTGGCTGAGCCTTCCCAAGGTCCTGTAGTACCTTCTCATAATATTGCAGCTCATAATCCAGGATGACTCCATTGGGTTGGTCAGGCTGGGACCATGAGAGGGTAATGCTGTCCACGGTGCGGCTGACCTGGTGCATGATGGACACAGCTGAAGGAGCTGGAAGAGAGAGCGAGAGAGAGGCCTCAGTCAGATGCCAGCATGGGCAGGACCCGCATCCCTGGCTGTAGGCCTGCAGGTGTATTATTGCTGTTTGGGGCTCCTGAATTTACTTCCAGCAGTGGCAGGGCTGTTCAGGGGTCAGGAGATCCTGGCTTTTGCTGTTTGTAGAGAGCATTTAGGGGAGAACAAAACATTTCCACTGCTCACTAAGACTTTGTAATTAGAAACCATGTAGGGCAGCATTTCAGGAAAGAAAACAAATCCTTTCCAGGCAAAATGTGCCCAGGGTTGGAGCAAATACAGCCTCATTCCCCTAGAAAAAAGCAGGACCAGCCCAGCAACATGCGATCCTCCCAGCTTCCCATGGGGAAGTAGGGGGTTCTGTGCTTTGACATTTGCATAGAGAAGCTTTCTAAGGCGGAGGCAGACGCAGGAAGCAAGCAGCTCCTCTCCACCCTGGTGTGCTGGGTCTGCAAGTTGCGCTTGCCAGTTGAGGGAGGTGCACACAGCAGCCTGAGCATGCAACACAAACCTGACCTGACATGCTGACAATGGTGAGCTGCCCGCCTCGTCACAGCGCCCTGGAAATAGCACACCCACAGACGCCGCTTGTCCCACTCAGCACAATGGGGCCTTCCCACAGCTCCCCGACAGCCCAGCCGGCTGCCCACCCCTTGTGCTGCCCCGACGTGGCTTGACACAAGGCCAGGTAGGAGCAGGGCGGGCTCAGCTGGTGCCATGTCATGGGAAAATCGTCCTCCAGGGACCTGTGCTAGCAAGCCCATGGGGCAGAGACCACAGCACTGAGCTGCCACCTCCCTGGAAAACTCTGACCAGCTCCGACCCTGCTTGCTGTGGAGCAGGGCAGGTGAGCAAGCAGCCTGGGCTGCTTTTAATCTGGTTGATGGATAGCAGAGATACCACAGCATGGCAGGTATCAGCCCCCAGCCCCTTGCTGGAGAGCTGACACACAGATGCTAGTGCTTTCTCCTCTCCACTGCACCTGAGGCCGGTGAGCTAGCACTGTCCTTGCGCACCCTGTGCCCAGCCTGCCGATGGCACTGCCAACACAGCCTCCACGGACCTCAGTCCAGAGGCCATCCCAGACCTCACCCAGTGCCAGCCCAGCCTCGGAGAGTGCAAACTGCAGCACAGCATCTGCCCTGGCATGCCTGCCAGCACAGACTCACTGCTTCAGCAGCTTCAGGGCAGAGGGGAAGCCTCAGGGGTGGGAGAAGACTGGAAAATGGTAGCGAGAAAGCTTCACCATCACTTGCATGCCAGGCCTGGTTACAAATGGATGCAGAGAGGCTTGCACTCAGAAGGGCTTTTACCAAGTCCAGCCCTTTCAATATTTCATGGAAGAACAACTCATTTGACAGCTCTGAGAAACAGCTTGCAGGAGCAGCACACAAAGCAGAGCAACTCTCACCCACCTCCAGCCTGGTTTCCCTTGGCATTGCGAGCAGCGACAGGGACTGCGCCAGCTGAGCATGGCAGACACGGCAGTGGGAGGACTACGCTGCTTGGACGTCCTTGCCCATCGCTGTAATGAATTACAGCTGAACAGCACCTCTACGAGTATACCTACAAAAGCCATCTTTGCCTCTCCACTTCACCACCTGTCTTCTGGATTCAGAGCACTGTAGCTCCGAGGATGTTCAACACCTGTGTGTCAAGTGGAGTAGGGACCAGGTATGGGTAAAGCAAAATCTGCTACCACACTGCTGCACCATTTCCCTCCATCTCCCTGTGTTTGCA